CCTTGAGGACTCCATCGTCTACTGCGTGGCTGATAGCAGCTTTGCAAACAACGAGTCCCTGAAGAGCTAGCGCGGCTGCTTGATTGGAGTGAATTGGCCTGATGTTGAAAAGGGTTTTGAAGTTCCCCTCTTTGTTTTGGCGTTTGCCGCTCCACGCTGGCTGCTCAAGCGAATGGCTTCCTCACTGGAGTGGAGGCTGCTGACTACTTGCGCTCCATCCTCGTGGAGATGCAGCGCCCCAACGTGTGCCTTGCTGACTTGGCCGACCACTTCGCGCCGAAGAAGCTGCAAGCTTTCACTGACGCCAAGTCTTTAGAGGCCGCCCTGAAAAAGGACGCAGGCCAGCCAAGTGACAAGCGTGTGAAGGTCTTGTTGGCCCAGGTCTGCAGATGGGGAACTGCGAAGACACAGTTCATCCAAATGCTTGCCGACGTGATGACCAAGGTCGGCGCTGAGAGAGAGCCATTGATGGAGGCCCTCACTCGGTGTGCATGGCAGATGGAAGCCACGAATGCGGCAAAGGCCCGGAAGGAGGCCATCCGCGCCGGACGACGCCGGCGAAAGGCCGAGGCAAGATCCGCAAAGCTGAGGACGGGTGAAAAGCATCCAAGTAGCGTTGAAGTGTCTGAAGCAGTCCAGCTTAGCGGTTCTTGAGCTTGAGCCTTGGATTCATGCAATTGCACTGCAGAGCGCTCTTTTGCTTAAAGGGAAAAAGGGTACCTCGCATCCGTTCGGCCACTGTCCGGATTTTGATTGTATATATATATATATGATTATATCATGTGCTTGATTATGATTGAGTCTATTATTACTCAAAAGATGCTTTATCAACATAGATACTTTGGACATCGTATCAGGATGTTCATCCTCATCCAGCGCAGCCGCTGTTGAACTCGCTGGAGCACTGTTCCGGGCCCAAGTCAAAGCATGCCCCTTGCACTGGTGGGCTCTGTGTTTTTGCATAGGTGTTGTGTAAATGGTTGTTCCAGACTGTGTAATCGAACCCAAGTACTATACCTGCAAGTGAAGGCATTGTGTATGTGGACCTTGATCCCCTTGCACTATTTTGCACCCTGATATTTACTTCTAGCTTTCATAGCGGAGCATAGAGAGCGAAGGCGTCAAAGACTCGTCGACAAACTCTTGAATCGTTTTTTTGGGATAAAACAAACTCAATTTCCAACTTCGAAGCTTTGTCGGGATGGCCGGGGATTGCTCAAATTGTTCCTTCACAATGGCTGGCCGCACTGCCACGTCCCCGTTTCGTACAATTGCATGCAAACCTTACCTGACGCTTTAGTGCTAGTTGGCGCGAGGGGTGTGCAGTGAACCACACTGTACAGGAACAGCATCGGATCATGTCCGCATGTGTGTCTACCCCAAGAAATGGTTGGGCCCAGGTGCCACAAGTGTTCCAACAATTAACATGTTGCAAACATGTGTACACAAGTTGCATCATGTTGTCAGGGCTGAAACACATTGTTTTGGCTACCTTGTAAGTGTTTGCCTCTTGTTGAACAATGTGAATGCGTTTTGGGAGAACAGTGTATGGTCCCCAATGTATGTTTCATAATCTGCCGTGTTACACATGTTCTATCGAATACAAACGGAAAACAAAGAGCGATCACTCAAGACCAAGGCCTGAGCTAGTTCGGCCAGATTTCATGCAAAGGACTGCGTGAGTTTGCCACATGCGATGCATGTTGACAACTCGGATTCTTTCCCACAGGCCGACTGCTGCCACTGTAGCATCTCGCAGGGAGCCCATTATTTGACCACTAGGCTTTTCAAATGTGCTATGAGACGAAATGAGGGTGAGATGGCGTGTTTCACTCAGGATACTTTTGCATGAAAAGGGTCAAAACCCTCCTGAAGGAGACTGGGGCTGTGCTTGGTGCCCAGACAAATTTGGAAAGCAAAAACAGATTTGATTAGACATCTACGTCGTTACGGCATACTGGCATACCTTGTCCATCCTGAGACAAAAGTGACAAACATAAAATTCAAAAGTTAAAGGCTTTGTCCGACTCTGTCCTATCATTATTGCATCACGATCCTCGCTTTTGAGTGATCTTTGAAGGCCAAAAGGAATGCTTAGCGGTCACATCGAGGACTACAAGACGGTCTTGAAGCAATCCCAGGTGCAACATGGTGCAACACCCAAGTGAATACTGTGGGCATACCAAATATATATATATATATACATATTATAAGAATAGCAATAATAAGATATAATAAGTAATAATAACAATATCAATAACATATGCGAACGAACTTGTAAATGTCATAACATTCGTGGCGCAGCTGTGGATAGATTAGTTTGGGGCGAGGCAGCCAAGAATACAGCCCCAGATGCAGCTGGCGTATCACCTGCCTGGCCCTGAAAGCTTCTGTTCGCTGGCCTTGTCTTGGATGTGCATCCTCACAAGTGGCATTTACGACAGCAAACCTCGCTAGTGATCACTGCTAAGTCAATCTATTTAATGGGTCAGCCGGGCACCCGCGGGCTCCGGCCGACCCGAAGGGAAGAGGAAGGAGAAGAAATCGTTTTCTCTCTTTGTCTCGCTCTTGCTCTTTCTTTTTGCCTTCCCTGTCCCTTTCTCTTTCCCGTTCGCTTTCCTTTTCGCTTTCTCTTTCTCTTGCCCTCCCTTTTGCTTTCTTTTTCGCTTTCTTCTTCCCTGTCCCTTTCGGCTTCTCTTCCTCTTTCTCTTTCCCTTTCCCTTTCAGTTTCTCTTCTCTTCTTTCTCGTCAGCTTTCTTTTTCTTTCTCTCTGTCTCTGCCTCAGTCTCCGCGTCTCTCTCTCTTGAAACACCCTGCTATGTTGGGCCCATGCCCGGGCCTATGTGCCTATGTGGCCAGGCTGGCCCAAGTTGAGCCAATGTTGGGCCCATTTTTGCCTGTGCGGTTTTTATGTTGAGCTCAACGGGAAGCAGAAACACAAAATGCATCAAAGTGCTAATTCTAATAACTAATAATGCTAGGCGATCAAAAGCAACAAACAGCAGAGAGTGCTAATACTGCAAAGCAACTCGGGCAGCATGACACCAAACACGTAGCAGAAAATCGGAAGGCCACAAAACACCGTAAAACGCAGCACTTCAGTGGGTCGGCGGCTGCGGTGGCTCCCGCCTTAAACGAAGCTGGTTTTAGGGGGGGCCAGCGCCCGCACACCAAGGACCACTAAGGGTTGTTGTGAGGGGGCGGGTAGTTGTCGGCACGATCCGTGTGTTTTGGGACCACGAGCACCTCAACCTGCGATGAAGGGAGGAAAGAAGGCTATTTGGGAGGAATGAAGGATGTTTTCCCCCAAGTGCACGCGTAGTTCAGCGGAAGTACCTGAAAATCTCAAGTCCCAAGTCATAATGGAAGAGCTGAAGAGGCCAAAAACCCACAAGAGCTAGGTCATGAGCCTTTGGATAGAAAAGCCACAGAAACACACCCTAGCCAAGCCCATGTGGACTAGTGAGACCACAGTTGGGGGCATGCCTGGAGGAAAGAGAACACCATGACATAATGACATAGGTTTTTTGCCAAAAGTTACAAGGCCTATGTAGCTTCAGGCCCTGAAGTCTAATTCATGTTGCAGGAGTGTGGGTGGTAGCGTGAAGTGCCTCGCTGTGGCCAAAAGCTCCAGTGGATGTGCGCATTTGCGTCGAACAACTGAGGGTCAAGTCGGCGAAGGCAAACTATTTTGGGAACCATCGGATCATTTTTGGTGCGTGTTTTGGGGCGCTACCGAAGCTCGATACTCATCGATATTCGATATGATATATATATATATAATATGGGCTCACTTTCGAGGAGGAAGCCACCAAAGTTCTCGCATGGACCCGCGCACGCACCCACGGGCGTACAGAGGCGCGCGCGGGTCCATGCAGGTTTCCATTTGGGGGGGGGGCTCCCGAGACCGCACCACCATGCCAAATCCTGCTCAACGCTCTTCGCGGGAAGAACATCGTGACGGTCAGCAACGAATCTGGAATTGAGAGTTGTGATGACATTTGTTAATTTTGGGGCAGATTTTTAGTAATGTGACAGGCGACCGACATCACCAGCACTTACGGGAGACCCTCTCAGGAACACACCGGCCCCGCTCCACTTACGCCCACGCTCATCGCTGTAGACTCGGATCGGCGGATTAGGAAATTAAGATTAGAAATTGCCTGAGAAACTGCCGCTAAGTGGTGGTGCAGATGGGAAGTGGTAACCAAACCCGGGCTGATCCAATCCACCAGTTAGTCTCTTTGATATTTGCCTTGGTCTAGGTTGATTCCCCAGTTGCTCGTGGACGTGGACCACGCCCTCGGCGTGAGATGCTGTAAGTGCGACTTTTGCAGTCAACTTTTTTTTGCTATTTTAATGTGCACCCGAAGTGGTTGGCGCATCCTTCACTCAGATTGTCAGCTGCGACTGGGGCAGTACTTGTCGCTCGTCGCTGTGCAGATTACATTCATACGAAGGGAGCCTTACGTGTACAAATGCTTCCCACTACGAAAGAGTGTTGATGTTGACATCCATCGCGAATGGCAAAATAGATCAAATCCCAGGCGCAATTTCAGACCAAATACCGAATCTAAATCGAATGCTCTCTGAAAAATCATTGTTCAGCCGCTCGGATTGAAGAAATAGATCCTGTATGACATGGGAGGAGAAGGAGTTAGATTTTTTGCTAAAGAAGTCAAGTAGCCATTTGTTTGCTCAAGAGCCAGAAGTCCTCGACATCCGCACGACGCAGAATGGTCATTGGTCAGGTTTGAAAGGTGGAAGTTTGTGAAACCAGCAAAACGGCACCAATGGCTATCATATGCAGTATTATTAAGCTATCGTACGTGTGTCATACATGAATCAAGCGCTACTTATGCAACTACAAGATGTGAGAATCTTGCAGATATCCTTTGTCGCAGCTTGGTTCTGGGAAGGCATTTTGGCACTGCGCCATATGGCTATAATATAAAGGTTCTTATTGTGTGCTGGGTCAGATCTAGGTTGATTAGCTGGCGATGGTTGAATCGAACGCATGTGCAGCTTTGGAGGCTTGTGGGCAGTATGTTCGGAAAAACGCCGGAGCTCAAGCGCAGGTTACTGTTTACTATATTTAGCACTTTTGGTGAAGTGGCGACTTGCGGATCAAGATTGCATAGATATAACATAGACTGTTTTTTTTCGGGCCAACCGTGCGCTCGGCTGTCAACGCACCATGGTAGTGACAGGCACTGATACCTTTGAAATCATTTGAGTCACATTTTTTTGGCAAACTGCATTGGGTAAGTGCGATTATATAATTATATAGCTTTTTGGGCGCAGTAGCGATAGCTTGACAGCTAGAGTTGGCACTTGGCGCACACTAATGATGGGTGAGCCATGTCTATTCTTCCTTCATTTTTGCACCATAGATCCGGCGGACCAAGGCTTTCAGGTGTCTAGTCTTGTGAAATATGTGTGGGGTGAGCCGTGTGTCCATGAACCGCCCGCCTATCGCACCACATTGCACCCAACTTTGCCGTCGTACCCACCTGAAGCATCACCTGAAGCACGCTATTCTTTGTAAATTTGTGCATCAAAAGAACCTGCACAGTTTTGGAAGCATTATGGCATTGAGGTCGCAAAGTGCACGGCTGGGATTTTCTAAAAGCGCCACAAGTAACTGAGCAGTTCACCTCACAATGGAAAATGTCCGTTCCATATGGAGCAGCTAAAGATTGCATACATGTTCCGACACCCTGCGGAAAACCAGCGCACCGCCAGTGGCCACAAGTGACCGCTTAAGCGCAAGAAAGATCCAAAGAAAACACAGAACACATGTCATGTGTCCTTCTTGTTTCTTCCTTTCTTCAACTTCCTTCAAGCCTTCCTTCTTGGATCCCTCTACTGAAAACCTCTATGAAGTCCAAGGCCCCAAGTTCCAAATCAGGGGGTAATTCTATAGAATAGTTGTTTGAGCTTGAAGAGACCCTATGCACTTTATAGAAACACAAAATGTAGTCGATGTTTTTCGAGATGTGGTTGCAAGACCCTGTCGCTTTATAGAAGTAAATTGACAGAGTTTTTAGGGCAACCAGTTTTAAAGAGGTGGTCATTCTATAGAGAATCACTTCGGACAGAAATACGTTTTCATTATAGAGATGAGAGAGGAGTCGGGCACAAAACGACCATACAAACGAAAACACAACAGGAAAAAGCATCAGAACCCGGGGGCGGATGAGAGCGGATGTTCTTTACATTTGATCATTTGATCTCGATGTGTCTTATGGTGCGCTTGTCAGAGCTTCGAGAAATCAGAGCGAAGTGGCCGCTCGAGAGTGGCCGCAAGTGGCCGCTCCGAGCAACATCAAAATGCGCGTCATGTCCCGCTCTCTTCATTATCTGCATCATGAAACAAATTGTTGGCCACGTGGTGTCCGATTGGTTCATTGATCTGGGCAGGTCCTTCTGGTTCTCGGAAAGAAGGTGCAACATTTGTTTCAAGTTTCAACGCAGGTTGCCAGCGAGGCTCCACCTTTCCTAGCAGCTGCTAGCCTAGGCCAATGGGAGGCCGCAGTCGCATTCCTGCGCTGCAGAACTCTTTGTTGGCTGAACATGTCCATGAGACACGTAGAATGCACTCGTGCAGCACCATTTGATGAGCAGATTTTGCATGTTGCTTGTCGTCGTACTCACACGCGGATCTTTATCTATCTAGCATGTGCTGTCCGCCATTCGGGTTACCCTTTGGATCCCTTTGGCCTCTTTTCGAAGGTATTTGGGAGCTTAAAGAATCGAATGGAGAATAGAAGTTGATGAAAGCCTCATTTGTTGCTGTCAGTGCATTCCGAATTGCACTGTTGCGAAAAGGTGTGCCAAGAGACTTTGAAGAAGCAGCCTGCATGTTTGGAGGCTGGCGCTTGAAGGGTTGGTGGAGCACAAAACTGATAGGCTCAGACGCTTGACTTGGGCACTTTGCTGCAGGTTTGTGATTGGGAAGGGCGCACTGCCTTGATATTGGCAGCAAAATCAGGGCATCTCAAGGAGCGAACGCAGCGAATGTGTTGTTGCTCTTCCGAACGGTGTTTTCAATGTTTTTTCAGAGTCAGGTTTGTCAAGTTCTGGTGTCAGCTGGAGCCGACATAGAGGCGACGAAAGACCCTGTCCTCATGTCAAATTAGTGTCCTTGCTTCGAAATCTTCATTAAGGACAGGTCAAAGAGAAACGGTGTGCCTGAGGCGGGCGTCGAGATGCATCGAGGGTGCTTTGTTTGCAGGCCACAGACTTCCATGACAAGACACCTTTGGCTTACGCTGCTGCCGCACATCACACGGAGACCGTGGAGAGAGGTAGTTTGCTGTAAGATGAACAAAGTCAACCAATGCAAAATGAGCGTCAATAAATTGAAGGGGCTTGTGAACATTGTGTCTTAAGATCTTGCAATGTCGCAAGTTGCGATCATGCATGGTGATGTGCTGTAATTTGTCATTTGGTGGTCATATCAGCCGTCCACAATTTCTTACCTGCCCTTCACAAAATCTAGCTGTCAAGTTCGTAAACGAAGAAGAACAGAGAAGTGAACCAAAAATGTGCTTGGTTTGGACTAGTGACTACTAGTATTGTGACACCCCAAAGTAGCCCAACATCGTTTGCCAAAGCGGCCAAAAAGTCAGGAGATCGCCACTTTGCTCTTGGATCATGGAGCAGAGGTTGAGGACTGCGGTTTGCCTTCCTGGGAACGTTTATGAGAGCATTTCATGCATCATGTGACAATGTAAACTTTGAATGCTCTATGACTCTATGTCTCATGCGCATGGTTTGCTTGTACTCTTGAAAGCAAGATGAGCAAGCACGAAACCGTGCAGGCAACAGACTGTATTGTGAGAGATGCTGGTTGCACTGTATTGTAGTTCTCGACCTGCTTTGGTCGCTCTCGTCACTGAGCAACAGGAAAAGCTTCCAACTTCAATACTTCCATCCAGTTTTAGATTTGACAAAGGTCGGACTTCTTTGCGCCCTCTCCGGAATGGCACATTTCTGCTCGAGCTTCGTCGTTCAGCATCCAGTCATTCCACAAGGCAAATTCAGATTATGATTTAGTTGGTGGAAAAGCTTGAAAAGCTTTGTTCCGCTTTGATAAAGTGCACTGACGGGCTTGGATCAGCCATGGCTTTCTCCTCACGACTAAAAGCTACTGCCCTACTTTTTTTGTTATAGATGTTTCTTTTTGCCAGGTAGATTGTCACTGAATTCGTCGGAATTGTTTCACTAGTGAGAGGTTCTCAAGTTTGTTGCTGTACAGACAATATTCGCAGCACACGGCGGAGCCACCCATCCCACAGAAATTTGGGCTGGGATTCGTTCGATACACAAGAACAGAGCCATGAAGCCTTTGGTACCTGCCAAAGCGAGCTGGCAACAAAAGATAAGACCCCCAAAGAGATTCCAGATTTCATCTCCCGCTCCACGAGACCTTTTTGGTCACTGTATGCTTTCAAAAGGACTCGGCAACACAAACAATGAAATGAAGCAAAAAGTCCACGCACAACATTGGCCGCAAACTGCATGGTTGTTGAGAAATCGCAACATTGATGTCCCTATCATCGAATTGTCCTTGTAGCAGGGTGGCTCCCAGTAGTTGGAGGTAGATGACCACGAGGAGTGTATGTATGTAATCTAATCTTATGTTATGTTATGTCACGTTATGTGATGTTATGTATATAATTGTGTGTAAATGTATGTATATGTATGTATTTTATTGTAAATTGTATGTATGTATATATAAAATTCTAGGCGAAGGTCGCCTTGCTGCCCACATTCCAAGAAACCCCCGTCTAACTCAGGTTCACTCCCAGGAGTAAATGGACGAACTCCAGGTGGATAATGGCCATTGAGTAAGGTAGCTAAATCCTTCTGGTGCTTTTCTTGTCTCTTCAACGCCCTTTGCAGCTTCTCAATTTGAAAGAAGCATTGCTGGGAGAGAAGCTCCAACAACTTTCTGAACCAGGTCAGTTTGTGAACCATTCTGGGCATCTTGCTCCGTATCACGTCTGTGTTGGCCACGTCTATTTTCTCGATCACTCATGGATTAAGTCAGGCGCTCGAAAGTCACAGATTGCATACACTGAGACCGCACAGTGTGATAACTGGAAATCACTCTGACAAATTGCACACCGGTGTCAAGGCCACTTTTTGCCAGGCAATGGAACTATCATTAGCAGTCGAGAGACCCTCCTAGGGTGTTGTGAGCGGGGTGGCAACGCTGCGGATATTCCACAGCGCTCACATCAAACGTTTCAGGACAAGCTCTTTAATTTAAAGCTTAGGTCCCTCGGTCCTCGGTAATTGTCATTATTGTTAAGCCGCCTCCTCCCCATCCAACCTCCAAAGATTTTTCCAAGAGTTGCCACAGGCGGAAAGGTTGATTTCCACGGCAATTCCAAAATGGAAATCAGGGGGCAGTTCCCCAAGCACGGGACCACAAGGCAACAGCTTCTTGGGATTGCAAAAACTTGTTAGCCACTGAAGCCAAACAAGCACATTCCCAAACAAAATGGAAAGAAAGGACAAGCCATCTAGTCTTGAGAGCATCCAAAGGCTCCCCAACGTTCTGTCCTTCTCTCATCCACAAATTCCCCTCCCACGCGGTCATGAAGGAAGGGGTTTATGTTATTGATCAGCCTACGAACTACGAACAAAGACTTGTCTAGCCTCATTGTAAGCTGGCACGTGGCTCAGCGGCACTCCAAGAGATGTTGGTTTAAAAGTGTTCGCAGTCGGCCCTTTGGTGCATTTGCAAAGTCGCTTGATTCGGGCTTGCAGTCTCCCAAAAACTCCCAGCTCTCATCTTCATGTCAAACCAAGCTCGAAAAGGTTGGAACTTCATCTCCAAAGAGTTGTGGTTGCCAATCGTCCACTTTTCAGCCATGGTGTAAAAAGCACTGTCACTGTCAGAGAGTTCTCCAGAAAAATTCAAACCCATGCCAGTACTACCACCACCTGCCATACCTGATGGGGGCAGTGTTCAGATTGGACATACTGGTGCGTCAGCAGGAAGTCAATCACGCGCTTGCCTATATCCCGGGTAGCCTGTGGTGGTAAGGTAGTAACTCAGAGCCATGTAGTTGCAGTTCATCGCGAGTTCCGAACATGAAATATATGTCAATGTTCACAAACGCGAAAGGGCTGCGACTCTGACACTGAAAATGGTTCAGCGGCTTCACCAAATCACGTGCGTTGCGCAAAATCGTGTGGAAAACAACGCGACGCCGCCTGCAAGTTGTGAGCAAGCCACACACCCAACCCAGCGAAAGGACAGACACTCCCCCATGGAAGCTGCGGAACGCAACTTGCCCAGCAGGCTTGTGTGACTTTACTGTGACATTTAGCTTCCTCACCAAGTATTGCTTGCCGCTGGCTAGTGACTTTTGCAGAAGTCGGGTCACGCTAGCGTCACCCTTGGCTGTGGCAATGTCTTGGGTCAACACTTTGTACTCCTTGCGAGGTTCTCGAACCCAGGGACAAGATTGCACTGATAGGGCACATACCATTTCTTCTTGAAAATCTCTTGGTGAGAACAGGACAAAGCTTGTTTGGTAACCTGGCAGTAGCCACCATCCTTGTCAGTTAGCACCACTGACCAAGGCGATTGCTCAAGCCACTGCATGGCCATGTTGTCAAGAGAAAGGCGGTTGCGACAGAGACAATTCCGTTTGGAATTCCTGGAAAGCGCACACAGGCCGCCCGCAGTCGCGAAGCAAAAAACTGGTCCAGCATCGTACTTCAGGAGCAACTTCGTCACATGCAGGTCGACGCAAAGTGAGCAGGAGATCGCGGAACCCGAAAAGGAGTCCTGCCACTGCTGCTTCGCAGTACCCACTGCCACTGAAGTTTGTCGCGGAACTCAATGACATGTTTCACGACACCGGCACATGCCACGTGACCAGAGAAACTTTCTGCGAAACTTCCCAGCAAAAGGGCCACATCCCACGGGAGCAACTCTTTGTCAGGATGAAACACGCTGTGTGACACTGAATCATATATGTACGCGTTCTGTCGGAAGTCTTCTGCCTGTAGTAGTAGGACTTGGAGCCAATCCTGTAGAGTGGCGCCACGCATTAGCTTCCGAAATTCCACAGTGACACTGTGCCTTGCCACCTTTGCTATTGTCTTTCCCCTTGCCCTTTGACTACGCAAAGGGTTGTTGCTTTCCTGTTTGCCCTTAGACTTGCTAGCCTGTGTTTGTTGCTGCGCAAGGCTTCGTTGAGAACTTTGTTCTCCCCAGCCAGCTTTCCCTAAACCTTTCTTGCCTTGTGCTTTTCTGGCGGTCAGCTGACTCTTAGTTGGTCCAGTCAATGCGTTCTGTTGGGTCACATCTGGAAGATTCTGGAAGCCGCTGCTTTAGTGTAGTCAACCCGTGGGTCAACCGGTGTCTTGTTTCACAGCGCTCTCAAAATAGTCTTGGGATCTTTGGCACCGATGGTTTCCCGAAGTCTGTCTCGTTCCTGAAGTTCTCTTTCTGCCGCTTTGTCGCTGTCCACTTTCTTCTGTGCAATTCTATTGACCGTGGCCAAGCAGAGTTTGACAGCCTGTTCTTTGCTCACTGAGTTGTCTGCGACGACAGAGCTTGGGCACGGGCCGTGGACATTGTCGACATCCACACCCGCAAGTATATGGACCCGGGTGATCAGGTGATCTTGCATGGGCTTGCTCGCAGGCCGCAAGGGTGCATACGCCTTCTCAGGTGTGGCCGAGCAGCAGGAGCTTCAGGTGTTTTGTGATCAGCGCCAACGTAGAGGGCGCAATCCTGGAGAAAGCTTCAGGTGCAAGTTGCTGAGCCATCTGGTGGGTTTCCGTCCAACCATCTTCTCAGCTTGCGGGGTCGCAGTCTCAAGCTCCTCATCGACAACCAGCTGTGGGCAGTCTTCTGCCAACCTCTGATCAATGTTCTCCATAGTCAGAGCATGTCAGCCTGATGGACCCTGCATTGACAGCAATCTGAAACACCGGAATTCGGAATAGCGCTGCAGGGTAGAGCTTATTCAATGTGCTTGATTAACTAGCCGCTAAACTAAAGTGGCTGCGCACTAATTGTGGCGACTGGTCACATACATACATACATACATACATACATACATTTGGAGCCGGGACAATGAGCTCTATGTCTTTGTGGAAACACATCTTGACAGCCAAAGGCACCACTCCATGTGCCAGTACTTTGAAGTTGGAGGGAGACATGCCTTTGGATACCCGCCCCATAGCAATGCCACCAATGAAGGCACTCATGGTGGAATCCTGATTCTCCACGACACAGCACACGGCATCTCCCAGGTTGAGCACTATGCCATAGAAGGCTGTGGCTGGGAGGCCAAAGGACGGTCCATTCTGGTGATTGCAGTCTACTTCAAGACCAATGAGACTCTCCAAGGCCAAACAAACTCCAAGCTGCTGGCAAGAATCCTGACACTGCTGCAGGCTTCCAACAGGCAGTTCATGATGGTGGGAGACTGGAACAACCATCCAGACCAGTTTCAAAGCACCGTATTGAACTCCAAGTTCCACTGGCAAATACTGGCACCTGACGCCACGCTGCTCAATGGCAACACCGTGGACTATGCCATCATGCACCAGAACCTTGCCACACATACATCCATGACCACCGACTGGGCAGTGCCTTGGCGACCACATTGCCTCGTCACCTATGCCCTGGAACTCGATGATGACTTCAGACACTACAACCAGCTACGCAGCTTTCCGCCCTTGCCCAACATACCAGACATTGGGTTCAGGGCTTGGAGCACCTACGTCTCACAGGTGGAAGACATCCAGCTGTATGATGCAGCCCCCAACGAAGCAGCCAGAGGCCTCGCTGACTGGGTGTCAATCACGGAACAATACCTGCTCCAACAACACCCGTGGGCCCCTCAGAGCAGGGCCTACAACCTGGCAGCAAAGCACCAACCATTGGTCCCTGCCAAAGCTGGAGCTATGTGGAAAAAGGGCAAACCGGCATACTGGGAACAGTTACAGGCCCGTCTCAACATCATCCAGCACCAACCCAACCATGCCAAGGGTGCAATGCGGGGTTTAGCCAAAGCACTACAACATGTCCAGCAGCACTGGACCGGCGACCCCACCTGGGCCCAATTTCTCGATACCAGCCAGCGCTGGCAACAGCATCGAGACCCACG